AAAGGGAAGGCAGGGAGGAAACAAAGCTGTTTCAAAACACCAGGGTGTAAAAACAAGATCTCAATCACAAGGCTATTTGCCTAGATGATTTAAGAGCCCTGCCAAGCAGGTGAGAGTGCCACAACTGCCTGCAGTGCCATCACCCCACACAATGTGCAGACCCACTGCAATGCCAGACTTGAGCTACCCACATGTGCCAACCTTCAGAGCCCAACTAAACTGAATTGCTGGACTAATTCGTGGGGATTTACTTCCCAGGGTGCTGCAGATGAAGCTGGAAGACAGCAGTTGAGCCACCGAGTTTGATATTTCAGCAGCAGGTTGAAACAACACCTGCAGACTCAGCTCCAAGGGAATTTAGGTACAAATTTACACATAAAACACACAGACTCCAATGCAATTCTAGACAGCACTAAGGCAGAAGGCTTAGCATGCTTCTAGGTGAGACGATAGGGAAGGAGCCACAAAGCCATGCAAGGATGCCTGCAAGACAATACACAGCTAGCCTGCCAGGTACGTCACAAGTTGGACTTGATGCTCCTTACAGATCCTTTCCAATTCAGGCTATTGTATGAAATATCTGTGGTTTGTAACACAGATCTGGAGAAGAAAACTTCCCCACTGCACACAGACTCATTGATGCTCTCATCACCATCCTCTCTGGTACCAGAGCTGGAGCACCAGGCTTGATTTCCTCTGTTACTTGATTTTCTCTAACAGTGCTGTGGGGATTCCTTACCCAGGACAGGGGTGGTAGGGAAGAAGTACTTCACCCAGTGCAGGACCTCAGCACCAATTCCTGCCAAAATACACATGATGGGGTACAGACCTACCATTAGAGAAAATTTCTCTCCCAAAAGAGCAGTGATGCACAGGTACAGGTTGCCCATGGAAGTGGTGCAGCCTGGTCTGGTGACCCTGCACATAGCAGGAGAGTTAAAACTGGATGATCATTGTGGTCCTTTTCAACCCAGGCCATTCTATGATTCTATGAGTTAAGAGATGTTGTGAGTGGCACAGCACTCATACCAGCTGTTGAAGAACTGTAGACATGTGGTACTGAGGGACACAGTTCATGGGCATGGTGGGATGGGTTGGGCTTGATGATCTCAGATGTCTTTTCCAGCCTTAATGATTGTATGACGTTACTGTATGCCTTCACTGCTATCTCAGCTCACGTCTCAGTCTCTTTATAAACCATCCTGATCTTTGCTCAGAAATGCAGATTTGAGACTCTAAAGCATCCAGCTTCAGAGAACAACCCACCTTCATGGCAGAGCTACCAATACTGGAGCTGGACTCCATCCTTCTGAGTCCCTTCCAACTCTGGATATTCCACAATTCTACATTTGCTGAAAACAGATGTCTTATCATCAAAACACAAGCTGGAAGACTCAGAGGCAAGAAAGAATAAAATAAGTTTTTATTGGCTTCCACAAGGAAGCAATAAAACACCCAGGATAAAGGACCCAAGTGTCAAGACTGAGAAGCATTTTAGTGCCTGTGCATCTGCACTGATTTGGGCTCAACATTCAATGCAACAACAGGCAGTATTAACTAAAAATCAGACAGGCAATACCTTAAGCCCTAGATTTCTTCAGGTTATCCTGTATTAAACACATCTGTGCAAGCAGCCCAGCATTTCATGACAATGGTTAATTGTCAGGGTTTTATGGGCCGTGCTACGTTTTGTTGGCTCAGTACTTAATCCCACACAGAGGTCTTTTTAAAAACAGAATTACAGTAAAGTGCATCCAATTATGCTTGCAGCAAGCCGTACATCCATCATACCAAGATTAACATCTCGACAGGACAATGGCAGAGCTGTTACCATGCCTGTGATTTGATTGAACATGCCAATGCCAGCACCCAGCCCCTTTGCAGGGGGAGATTTTTGGATTGTGGACCAATGCTACGCTAAGGTAGGAGGAAACTTTGTAGCTTGCCATAAGATCTCTAAAAGAGAATCTGGATACCACCTTCAGCTAAGAAAGCAAACTGCAATGACCAGATAAGGCATGTAGAGGCTCACAGATAGTCTCCTTTTTAAGGTTTTCCTACCAGAGATTAAGGAACTATGCTTTAAGCATCAAACACCAGGGACCAAACCAACACAGACAGCATTGGAGATCTCTCTACAAATGGTCTTCTCTTGGTAATACCAAGCTCCTTAGCACAAATAGGAAACAAAAGCTTCACAGAGTGACCAGGCATTGGCACAGGCTGCCCAGGGAGATGGTGTAGTCACCACCCCTGGAGATGTGACACTGAAGGACACGGTGGGGTGGACGTGATGACCCTGGGAGGTCTTTTCTAACCTTAATGATTCTACGTGAAAGAGACCTTTAGACTCAAGGGCTTCTTTCAACCAGCTTTAAGAAAGCAAGAAAACAAGATGAGGATGAAAAGATATCATTCCCACATTCACTTTTCACCGTGTTTAAAGAACATCAGAATCTTTGGTGCATGAGCTCATTTTGGAGTTGGAAATGAGCTGTGCAAGGGAGGGTCTTGCACTGCCTGGAAAAAAACTTAATGCTTTCCTCACTCCCCAGAGCTGGAAACAAGTGCTATAAATGCACAGCATTCATGGGTTAGGGATTCAAAGCACAGATATAGAAGAAAGTAACCAGAGAGCAACAGCAATGCAAGGGAATTTCTGAACTTCTCTACTCGCTTACAGAGTTAAGCAAGTAGCATTACATGCAGAAATACCTTGGCCATGGCATAGTTAGACTTAATTTCTGGGAATAACTTAGATTGAAAACAAGGATTGTTTCCCCACTGCAATCCCTCCACCCCTAGCAGTTCAGGCTGCTTTCACAAGTCAAGTTGAGCCCCAGCAACTCTTCTTTCAACCACCCAAGAAATCAGCCATGCCTCCATGTCCAGAGACTGATTTGATATGTACAGAAATCAACTCTGGAAGATGCTTCATCAAAAGCACCTTTGATGAAGAGCTGACAGCCTAGATAAATTAAACACATGGATTCTGAGGAGCCCTATGCTTGATAATCACTAAAGAACCCGGATTTTTTGATACCTGGCCCAATTGGTCACTATCAAACAAACAAACAAGGCTCACTTTACACCTTTCCTTCTTAAAGCCTGGTTTTAAGATTACCACCCTTGTGTGCTGGAGCCTCCTTTCCGAACATCAGAAGTCCATTTTTTTCTTTAAGCATCCCAAACAGCTGAAGAAAAAGGATACAACTAATTCCACCACAAATATCACTGCTAGAGGCAAATACACAAATTTTTTCTTTTTGTCCTCTTTTGAATGGAAGGGAAAACATTTACAAAAAGCCCAGGAGGACACATAAGGAAAGTCAAACTTCTTCACATGCAGAAGAATCCACAGCACGTACATTCCTTATCCCCAGAAAACACACCCCAAGGCATTAAGTCCAGACTCATCACAAAGCAGTGGGTCCCCTTCAGTCTTTCAATTAAGATGGCATTTGTAAAATTGCAGGCTTGAAAATTGCTAGATATAATCCATAAAAAGTCACCACTCAGGTTCAGAAAGCAGACCTGATGTAGTCAGGCACAGGTTTGCACCACAGCACATGTTTACTGAATCAACATTTCTAGCAAGCGCACTCTGTAGATCTATCAGGATTTGCACTTGCTATGAAAGCCAGGTTTGCTACATGGTCTTCTTTACCACCTGCACATGCACTGTGGGCTTAAAATCATGCAATGGGGGCAAAAGCACAGAGGGTGGAAGTGCTAGAGTAGTGCTGCACTGTGCTTTTAGCACCAGTGCCAACAAACACGATTCCACAGACCTTCCTCCTCTCCTGCACAAAGCTGTCCTGCAGCTGGCATAAATGTTGAAGATTTAGGGGAATTTGGCACTTGGAGACAAAATTCCTAGGAGCAGGTAACTATGTTTACAAATAGAGCCTGGCACATAACAGTATTTCTACACATTGGGGACATATTGAGGATCGTTTAAATGCAACATTGGACGCCCACACACAATTGATTCTTTTTGTTGCCACTGTTCAACTAGCCAATTTCTCAACAAATTGTCTCCTAACAACACCCAAAAGCAACCAACCGTCACCAATGCCATGTTGTCCTGTGGCTTGCACCTTCTCTAGGAGCCAAGGGCAGGGACCAGCCTCACTCAATACACTTATCACAACAAAACACAACTCATGGCTGCAGTCCTGGATTCACATGCTCTACAAGGCAAGGCAACTAGAAATATCCATTAAATTTGCTGATGCAAAGCTATGTTTGCAAGAGGGGATCTCCTGCTTTACACTGCAGGCACCTGACCTCTATCAGAACTATCTAACAGGTCATTTTCCCCCCTATTTCCACTACATGCCTCAATGCAGCAGGTGTGGGGATTGACTGCAGCCAGCACAGTTAAACCCAGGAGGCACATGCTACACCAAAAGCCCCTCTGCACTCTTGCTTTTTTTAAACCAGCAGCTGCTGGAGAGCAAAAACTGACCTGAACTCACCTCTAACATTTTAAAATAATGAAAAACAAAACAAATTTCACACATACAACCGGGTTTTAGGAGTGTCAGAATGACACTGAAGTTAGAGACAGTATGTGCACCAAAAATAAATTGCTCAGTGGAAAGCATCTCTCCACCAGCTACCAGCCTGCTACTGCTTTTGCTGCTGCAAAAAGCTTTTGCAGCTCCCAGGCTCCAAACTCAGAACCATCTCCCTCCAGGCCTGCCCCAGGCTTCGGGCCACATTTTAAGAAGCAAGATCTTAATTTTGCAGGGGTGGTTGCAAAGTCACCAAGCCCAATGCTGTGCTGTACAGCCTAAGTGGATGCACTGGGGAAGCGCTTCATGTTTTGGGAGAAAGGGAAGGGAAAGATGATGCAGGTGGCTTGAGAGCAGCTCAGCAGCCAGTTTTTAGTGGGTTTTCCTATAGTGACACAAAAGAACTCGGCAGCTGAAAACCAAAGTGCTCAGAGAGGAGGGGGAGGAACTGCTTTCGTCCCGCCGAGCTCCATCACTCACCAGCAGTGTTGGGCGGCACCTCCAGGTTGACGTTGACGAAAAATCGGATGCTGTCCCCTGAAACGATGGAGGAGTTCACGGCATCAAAGAGCTCCTCTCCCCCTGTCTCCTCCTTGGCCTCGCAGCCATCGTCCGTGTCACACTTGAGGTACCCTGCCAACGAGAGGGGCACGCAGTTACAACCTTGCCAAGAGCTGCGCTGGGCCCACGCAGGCACACATACGAACCCATGGCTGCCGATAAGGGCTGAAGGTGCAAAGCCTTCGCGGCCCCACAGCCTTGCAAAGGCCTTCGCCGTGTCCTCACGGGGCAGCTGCCACAGGGAAGAGACAAAGGGCTCCCACATGGGTCCCCAGAGCAGGCAGCAGGGCCAGCGTCCAACACAGCTGCCCTGCAGTCCGGCCACATGCTTGTGGCCTGCATTTGGGTGCAGGAGGGTGGGAGCTCTGGCACCAAGCTGCAGCACCACTAACGGCCTAACGGCACCAACTGAACCTCCCTGCAGCTCAGCACCAGAGCCTGGAGGGGGGGGGGGGGGCAGGGGGGGTGGTCAGGTTTTAAGACCCCATTGGTGGAACTGACACACAGCGCATCTCCAGGTGCACCAACTGAGCAGCTGTGCCTCCTCACAAGGACGCGGAAAAGTTAAGGCTCTGCCTGCAGCAAGCCAGGCCTTCAGCAGAACACCACCAAGCAACAGGCTCTTTCAGACCCCAAATCTGGATGAAATCTTGGCCTGCAGACCCCAAATGTTTGCATTTTTCAGCTGTGCCACTGCCTTAACCCAAGGTGTTCACCCACTCCGCACACAGCAGGGCAATCACTGTGTTGCCACAATCCAGCAGTTTTAACCCCAGGAAAAAGCAGTGGTTTCCAAGGAGATGCAGATGGACAGACAGACTTGGAGCTCCCCACAGAGCTGAGCAGCAGGTCACAGGAAGGGACAGCACAGAGGAGGAGAGACACATTTCTTAATTACAGCAGACAACTCCTCACCCTTTTGCAACATTTTAATTAGAGTTTAACCTAGTTGCATTCAGCAGCAAAGCTGGTTTGCTGTGATGCTTTCTTGCAGAGCAGCTGGAGGATTCTTGTGGTGTGCTCCAACTTTGTTCTATTAGAAAAATTAGTGACATTATAGAATGTCATTTTATTATTATTATTTTTTTACGCATTGCTAGGATTATTCAGCAGCTCCTACCCATCTCCTGACAAGTCTCTGATGCCTAATTTGAACCAAAAAGGAATATATTTCATTAGCTCACTTTGGCCACTGTTACACAATAAAGACAGTGAGCTTCAAGGCAGAAGATTCAGTGGAAACTCTCAAATATTGATCGCTTTTAAAAAGCGAACATGAATGCAGCAGCACCAAGAGAAGCAGCTAAAAGCAGTGCATAGAGTCTTGCAGGGATCTCAAGCCAATTGCTCAGCACTGCAAACAAAAAAAAAAAAAAACAAAAAAAAAAAAACAAAACCAACACTGCGAGCAAGGGAAGCCACAAACAGGAACTCTGCAAGGCAGGACAAGGGCTGCAGCCCTTCCTGCTGCAAGCTGCACACCAGTGCGCTCCTCATGAGTGCTCAGCATCTCCCAGGAAGGACTTGGAGGGCACAAGGGGGCTCAACGAGCTCTTACACAGCTTCTTATTTGCTTATCTGAGGTGTGGGATGCCAGATAAACTCAACCCTCCTTCACCACCTTTGCCTCAATGACTGGAGAAAAACTGACCCATCTAAACTGCTCTGAAGGCTTTAAGAAATATCCAAGCTCCTGCTGTCTTCCTTCAGCTCAGACAGCCAGCACTTTGCACCAAGTGCAGTTCTCTGCTGTTGCTGGTGCTTAGGCAGCTGTTTGTATCCCTGTTGTATAAAACAGCCAGAAGAAAGGGGGATGATAAGAGCACAGAAGAGACTTTGGCATCACAGCCACCATCAGGCATGAAATAGGGCTGGCAGATGTGCCAGGACCAAGGGGCAGTCTGTGTCCTGGAAGGACAGACATGGTGCCAGTGCTATCAACCCCTGTGCAAACATTTCAGTCCCAAGCAATATGCTAGACCTGGGGCTTGGCTCTTCTGAAATACGTAGTAACCATAACCTCTCCTCACCAATGCAAAGCTCTCATTATTGGTGTTAACACCACCCCGATGTCACAAGAGCTCAGGCAGCCCTACAAAGGGAAAAATCAGAAGATCAAATCAGCCTAGGGTAAGCCAAAAATCCACGATCCTAGCTTCTCCATCTCAACCATATCTGAGATGGTAGCCCCAGGGAAGATGTCAAAACAGGTCTCACATCTCCATCCTTTATGCTGAGTGGGTCAGACAGAAGGTACACGAAGTGGGATTTAAGCACGCAGCACATGGTTGACCTTTTTCTCCCCCTCAACCTGTCCCTGTGCAATTAAGGTTCAGGTAAGAACAAAGCAGGAAAGCTTATACATTTGCTTTCCAAGCCCTGAGAGCAGAGAAGGCTGGAAATGGGAGAGAAATGGTGCAGGAGCTGAAAGAAGGGCAAGGGTGGAGTAAGATCCCAGGGTTGGGCAGAGGTCAGCAAGGACTCTGGCAAGGGAAGCATCCTCAGTTCCTCCCTCCTTAGGGGAGGAAAGAGCAAAACAAAAGGCAGCCGAGCCACACGTCCCCTGGGCAAGGGACAGACAAAAAAACACTGCTTGCAAATAATCCCAAACCTGGGCTGTACAGGAACTGCACTCCCAGACAGGTGTCTGCTTTATCACTAAACCCGCTCCTGTTTTGAATCCAGCAGCTCATTAAATCTGCCAGGTATTAAAATGTGAGCAGCTTATGCCTGTTGAGAGCAGGAGCACCTCAAGGCATACGCATGGCAGATGCACCTTCACTCCAAGGACAGCACAAAAGTTGTCTCCATCCCTAGCAGCTGCTTTCTCCCATCACCCCAAGGATCACTGTGTCACTATACATGACAGGGTCAGTATGTCAGACTGAGCACAGACAGTGCCACTTCAGTCTCAAACAGAAGGTAGAAACACCACACCAAAGATTTTGCAGTCTGAGCCCAGAATTAGGAGTCAAGGTCATGTTGGCTGTAAAGATCAACCAGCAGAGCCCCTCCAGACCTTGAAAAAAACACCTACGGCCAAGAAAATCCCCCTCAGCCCTTCAGGACTCATCTGATGAGGGACAGAAACAGAAAAGAACAAAAAAAAGTAGCCAAGAACAGGTACAATCCTGCAGGAACAAAATCCCCTCTTAACTGCAGCTAGCCAGAACCAGTCTTGACTTTAAGTCCCTCTGTGCTTCAGCCCATTACCTGCAATGTGAAAATAAGCCACTACCCCCATTTTATGCAGGTTCTGGGAAGAAAAATACAGTTTTTCCCTCACCATTCTCCTCTAAATCATCAACCTACTCTCAGTAAACCATGCCTGGCTCAGAACTGACTTCTTCCACCTCAGTATCCATGCCAGTCTCTCCCTTTATTGCCATCAATTTTGTGAGAGCTTCTCCAGTCCTACTGCTATCAGCTATCCAAACATAGACGACATGATTACACTTACAGCTTTTTTTTATTATTACTATTTTCTTTCAAAAATAAAACAGGGTCTGTGAGAACCCTGGGCTCTGACTGGGAGGGCAATGAATTGGCCTGCAACCATTGGAGGTGGCAGTATCTCTCCTGCTGATGCATTAGCAGCACCTAGCAGTTGCAGCAATAAAATCAGGAATAGCTTTCAGAAAGTACAACTTCATCCCCATTCCCTAGAAAGGGCAACAGACTCCAAGGAAACAAGGTCTTAAAAAACCTTCTAGGAAAAAAAAAATGCAGCTATTTTCCTAACAACATCCCAAGGTTGGAAGAGGCTCTGAGCAGCCTGGTCTGGTGGCTGGCAACCCTGCCCACAGCAGGGGGGTTGAAACTAGATGATCTTTGAGGTCCTTTTCAACCCAGGCCATTCTTTGATTCATTCTATGACATCATCCCATAACCCAAGCCAGACATAGCCCATATCATAGCCCTTGGGTGTATCTCAGAAGAAAGCACACAGCCAATCATGGTATTAACCAACATCTGCCAGCATGAGGTTAGGTTTGCAAATTCATCTACCCACTATGCTTCAGTTTAGATATATTGCTTTCCTATGCTATTCATCCACACAGCTGGAACAGCAGAGCAAAATAGGAAGATGAGTATCAGAGCTCATCATTTTCTTCTGGCAAAATCCCTGCAAAAATTGCAGCCTTGGTTTTTGAAGTGCCACAATGTTAACACTACAAATACTTAAAGCAATCTCTTTGAAACAGCCATCTCACCCTCAAGGTAAGATTTACCCTTAACTATCCTCCCAAAGGTAGCCTAAGCTACAAGTCTGGAAAAAACCAAAGTAGTGCTCCCACTTACAGCACCTGCTTTGCACAGCAATGCCAAATCCTTCAGCCAAATCCATGCCCCAACTCCCTGCTCTTTTTCCAATATGGTAACGTTCCCCTCTCCTGAAATCTCTTAATGCCAGGAAGATAAGTGGCATTCGAAGAGATCTTTTCGAGCGCAGAGTTGGCAATTCAACAAGATCAGCTCATCAGATTTAAGAAAACAGATGATTTTTAATGAAATTTCTAGGCACAGACGGTAGCTAGTTGCAGGACAGTCATTTTTCCAGCGCAGCATTGGTCACCTCACCAGAATATCAATAACAATGTGCACTGCTCTCCTGTCAGATTCAGCCAGACATTTTACCCTGGGAAATGCAAAGGCTTTCCTTCCAGCTTCACTGCTTTGGATATTGGTTTGTTTGTTTTTTGGTCACTAATCCTAATCCATCCCAAACTGAAATCAAATGTTTTGACTCCCTCTTTGCAACTCAAGCCATGCACTTCATACAAGCCAAATGCACATCTCTGCCACAGTTAAAATTCAGAGAATCACTAAAGTTGGAAAAGACCACTAAGATCACCAAGTCCAACCATCAACCCATCACCACCACATCCACTAAACCTCGTCCTTCAAATCAAGCATAGGATTTTACACGTTCTTGTTTTGAAAGAGCCTAGAAGCATATCCACTTTCTCAAAAGGGAACTCAGATTAATTGTGAGATTAATTATGGCAAGATCAACAATAATAATATATGTCCTACAGCTTTTAAAAGTAAGGGGACACAGAATCATAGAA